GAGGGTTGGCTTTCTTGACCTTGCCTGGGAACTTTACCTGTCGCAGAGGTATTACTGGGGAAAGCACAGAGGTGCACATGGGATAAGCTGTGCCACGCTGACAGAGCAGAGATCACGAGATACCTGGTTATTGGCATGCACGAACAGAGAATTTAAATTGTTTGTAATGCGGGAAACTGGGGACAAGGAGTCTTATGTTGAAAAAAATGGAGCTGAAATAGAACATAGCAGATTGTTTGGTTTCTTTCCAAAAGCAGATCTTAATCGTACTGAAGCCTTTGCTTTATTTTTGCATTTATTAAAGGCAAAGGGAAAATGTCCAGTACGAGCTATGTAAGTTAACCATGCCTAGACATTCAAGTTGTCTTTTCTTATCTCAGGGCAGAGAAAAAGCTGCAGAGCTGTTGGAGACTTCTTTGGGTTTAGAATGTACACGTAGCTTATCCTTCATCCCTGTGCTTTTTGTACTGTTTGTTTGAGATCATAAACTCTTCATGCTGGCGCTCTGTCTTCTCTATGGTCAACAGAAAAGAGCCCAGGTAGGTTGGAAGGGACCTCTAAAGATCATCTGAGGTCAGAAGTCTGACCTTCAGTATCTGATGCTTCAGTTAATTAAACTATGTCAGTCTGGAGCGGAATCGTTTATTTTGAAAACCATTACTAATTTCCTTGCAGTAGCTGGATATTTTGCCTACATGATTGAAAAACTTTAAGGATTTTTGATGTGTTGTTTGAATGCTAGCCTTTGTGAGAGGGACTGGTGACTCGTATGCGTGAGTAACATCACGTGCTCTAAGAAGGTATTACAAATGAGGCTGACCTGAGCTTCCCTCTATTCACACTTCCGTGGCTGTAATTTCCTCCCACCCCAAAGCCAAGAGCAGCTGTGTGATTTGTCCTTAGCCCTTGTCCCAAGTAGATACTTGGAAGTTGAGGTTTTTTGACAGTGAGTCTCCATGTGTGCTTTAGCAAGTGTATTTTCACAGAATTCTGTTTCTTGGACATCTTTCTCCTCCATACATTATCCCTGCTGTAAATTAAGTCTATTGTTTTAAAGTATTATGACACTTGGAGCAAGCTTCAAAGGGTTTTATTGGGGGACGTTGAATGCCCTAGCAGTTGCCCTCCAGGACAGGCAGTTCAGCAAGGCCTTACCCCAGCAGTAAGCAACGTGGGGCACAATTTCTGTTTCTAGAAGCATGTACAGAAGCCTTCTACCAGCTCCGCCGATTTTGCCCTCTCATCATTAAATTACACAGTGCAAGAATTTATAAACTGTAGCATTTAGTAGTTATGTAACATTTGGCAGAGTTAGGCGTGTTTGAATAGTAAGTGAGCAAAAGAAGCTTTTGGATTGATATATACATCAGTTTTGACCTGGGCTGAATTAGCTGAGCAGGGTCTTAAGTGCCAATAGACAATCAGTAGCTGGGAAGCTAGAGGCTAAGGTTCATGAGGAGCTCTTGGACTCTTGCTTCTCCTCCTCTGACTTTAGGTAAATACCCAAAATGCTAAACTATGGGCTCAGTCCCTCTGTACCAGTAATATGAATGCAAATTTTAACAACATTCTGTAACACAGTCTCTAGAAACTTTATAGTCTTTGGTCCTTCATGAACTATGGGGATGGCCTATGTAACATACGTAATGAAACTCTCTTTTTTCTAGGCAAACCACAGCTATGAGGAGATATTTAAGTTGTGCTTTCCAGAAGTCTTTTTACCAGAGTCCAAAGAGAATGTAAGAAGCTTAGATCAAGTACTTGATACAAATAGTGAAGATGTTGGGATTCCTGAGCATATGAAGAATCACCTTTGGTAAGTTTAGATCAACAGTTTAAAAAAAAAAAAAAAAAGTTCCTCAGCAATTACACTGTTTATTTCATAATTTAAAAATCAGTGGTACTTGCAGGTGAACTTTAAAATCTTCCTAATCACTGTGCTCTTCAGCATATCGATCTTGCCAATCTTGTTTTGTACTGTTAAAGGAAATGGATTGTGATTTTGCCATTACAAAAGAAGGAAGGGGATACATCAAAATTACAAATTCCTGCTTAGGTTTTTTCCTGCTGTTGGTGCACCTTCTGATGACTAAGCCTTTGGAATGCCAGGACACCCAACAGGCAGCCTGTTCTTCCTGTTCCCTTGTGCTTTCTTTACAACATACCTGACTCAGTTCTCCATCATCTGAGGCAGGAACATTGTCACTGCTTCTACTGACAATCCACTTGCTTTTTTTCCTCTCTCTCCCTCCCTCTCTCTCCAGTTTTTCCAGGTGGTAACGTGGTCTTGTGCTTAACCAGATGTGCTTCAGAATCTGTGGTGCATCTGGCTTTTTTCCTGGGGTTATGTTCACAGCAATTAGTATCGTTAACTTGGCTTTCTCTTCAGACAGCTGGAACACTCCTAGATTTGTTAGATGTTTTTGAAGGATCAGCAGCTTCTGAGCAGCATTGTAGTTATTGCACAGCGTTGCAGTTATCTGTGCATACATCTGAGGCTTCGTTTCTAGAAAGTTGGGTCAGACCACACTTTGGAAATGTCATGAGAATCACAAGAAATGCAGTTAAAATGTTTAATGTGGGCATCCTTTTGGCAAGTTTATTGAATATGCATTGTATTTAAATCAGCCTCAGACTTGTGGAGAAAGATGATGTGTAAGTAAAAGGAACTGCAATATTGTAGCAGAGTACCAACCACAGCCAAAAAAGCCCTGACACTGTGGTGGGTAACTGAGATGATAATGGCATCCTCTACTAAGCAAAAAGCAACTGGATTTATGTAGGATGAATGCAGTGTGAGGCCCCAAAGTCCTGCGTAGAGGGAACGCTTCAATACTCAGCTGTGTGTGCCTTTGTCTTGTTTGGTAGGACGTAGGTGTCCAGAGCAGACACAGCCCACCCACCTGAGCAGCAGGCTGCTGCAGTGGAGCAGCATGACAGATAGGAAGGAGAAAGGCTTGAGAGACAGACAACACGAAGTGTAGAATTAACAGGGCTGAGCTGTACCCACATTTCACAGAGCAATTGAATGATGCAAGCTCTGGCATATCTCCGAAATGTGCTTCTAATGCACTTCTTATCTGAGAAGCCCAAACATACAGTTATGTTGACTTACTGTTTCCACTAATTGTCATGCAGGCTTATTAGTACACCGGGTTGATGGTTTGAATGAATGTGGAAGGAGTGTTAAGATAAGTTGCTTTTCAGATCAAGGTAGGCTAGCACACGACTGTATGTAGTGACAATAACTTCTATTCGTTCACTGGAAACTTTGCACAACTTGCAACCTCAGCTTGTGTTTTCTTTCCTAGCATTGGTTCTGGAAACATATGGAGAACACTTAGAGACTTTGATAATACCCCCAGCTTAAGGTATCCCCGGGGTAAATCTCATTGCCAAGAAAACCTCTTGAGTGTGCTTGGAATAGATGCAAATCAAAAGGTAATTGAACAGCAGTTTGCTAGTGGGCCAGTTTGTTGGGTTTGTGTGGTGGCGGGGGGAGGGCAATTTGGTAGCAGGGGAGGGGCCACAGGGCTGGCTCCTGTCAGAAGCTGATAGAAGCTTCCCCAGCTCCAAGTTGTACCAGTCTCTGGCCACGGCTGAGCCAATTAGCACCTCTGTGATAACGTATTTAAGAGAGGAAAACAGAACCTGCAGTAGAGAGGGATGTGAGAGAGGCAGCTCTGCAGACCCCCAGGAACCCCCAGGTGAGTCAGAAGGTTTTTTACAGCGAGCCTTTTAAAATTATAGTCTAAGTGTTCCCAGCGTTACGTGTAAGTAACTACGAAATTGTGCAGGATCAAACTCTGGTCATCTGTACACTGACATCTCCGTTCCGTAGCGCCCTGTTGTGAGGCGGTACGTTCAGCCGACGTATAGGTGTAGAATTGGCTTTCAGATGCATGTGCCGTAAGATGGTTTTCTTTTTTTGCTCAGAGTGAGAAAATTGTTAGCCTCTAATGTCTTTCCATTAAGTGCAAATCAGATTTGAACGAGAGAGGCTGTTAAGGTAATTACTGGATGTTTTTACTGGATATGAACGGAGAGTGTGTTTCACCCTCCTTTGCCTCAGATTATCTCTTTTTGCAAGGCTTGAGGGAGACTGTATTTTAAATTGAGTCGAGGCCAAACCAACACTATTGAAGGATCTTAGAACTGTCTCTGTTTAATCTCTTGTTCTGAGGAGATAAAGGTATCAGAAGAGATGGTTCAGCATTCAACCTGGTGATTTAGTTGGGACGGATTAGTCACGTGTGGTTTTCAGAAGTAGCTGTTTCAATTGCTGATTTGATTGCTGAAGCATGGGGTGTGTGTGTGGGGGGGGTACTGCATTTGCTTTTGATTTTATGGACATACTTGACCTTTCATGCAAGTCATATACAAACAGAACGACAGTGCAGGATGCATAGGACCTATTCTGCTCTTGAAAGTCACTTTTACTGAACTGTCACTTAGCAAGAGAGCACAGGAGATATTTCTTCAACGCAGTTAAACACCCCTTCTGTTCCTTTCTTGACCATGGATACACTGGCATTAAATTAAATCCCAGGCATCTTAAATTTATGTCATTACTTCTTTTTTGTTAGTGGAAAACTGTATTGCTTTTAACAATACTGATGACAATGTATTTCTCAGCTATTTTTTTGGTGTGGGCTAAGGATAGTTTTAATTGGAAATGGCTTTTTTATTAATTTAGGTTACAGTTAGACTCGTGTGTAGTTCTTGTTTTGGCATGAAATTGTTTTAATGCAGGAGAGGGCACCTGCTAAATCAAAATTCAGCTTCAGAAAGTAAAATTCAGTGGTTATTGTTGTTTGAGAGAAACTTCTCTGTAGTTACATGCTTTGAGATGAAATAGAAATTCACAAAGAAAATGTGAATTATATTTTATTAGTGCTTTTTGGAGACCCAGAACAATATTTTGGGGGAATCAGATGTTAAAGATGAGGACTTCAGATTCGACAGATTTGGTATTAATGACTGCAAAGCACTGATCCAGACCAAGGTAAGAATTGCTCTGAAAGTAAGTTCTTCTGAGATCCACAGAGTATATTTTATGTGTTCTTCTGTGCTGTAGCCAGGTCTTGTAGCGTAGGTCTTAGTGCAATTTTTTGGTCCCGATATAACTGTTTGGGTGTGGAGTTGTTTTTGCACTTGGAAACATACCTGACAGCTTTAGAAAGGTATAGTGTAACATACCAAATGCAAAGCAACATAATACGGGGGATACGGAGATATAAGGTTATTCGTTATGTAAACTGGATTTTAGGCCCAATTACTTATTGGTTGTGAGAGCATGGTGATATATAAAATCTAGTCAGGATGCTCTGATGACAAAGGAAAATGAGCCTCTCTGTAGAAGGACCAACAAGTTGACCACGGGGAATGATGATTTTAACGTAAAATATATAGTAAGGGAGACATTAGAAGCAAAGTTGGTGGAGAAGAAACGGCACTCAAACTTGCATTTCAGATATTCAGAATTATTCAGATTTGGTTTGTTCACTCGAAGGAAAAGCAGGAGATACTTAAGGAGGAAGGCAGAATTGAAATTATAATTACAGGGATTTGAGACCATTACTGGTTTTATGCTGTGTTATGTAACATATAGAGAAATTAAATTGAAATACTTTGTTGTTAGTGCGTTTATGTCTTTGGTCAAACAGACCTTAATAAGCTCCTTTTTCTCCTTGCTAAAGCCATGCAAGTTGGAAGGAAAATTCTGTCATTCCCCATTGCTTTTAAAAACAAAAAAATAAGTTGCATTCTGTTTTTAATGAAGTATTTTGGATGAATATTCTTAACACAAGTTCTTTTCCTCAGCAGAGAATAAACTTGAGCAACCGCCATTGCAGCATTTGAGGCACACTTGCATTGCTGTTTTATTCTAAATAGAATACTTACTGCACTGGGCAATGAAGATGTATAACCGTTCTGGGAACCTTACAGATGAGAGATGTTAGGCTGGAGAATTCAGAAAAAAAACCATGAGAGACCATCCAGTTTATTCCTGCAAAATTCAGTTCTGCTTTCTTCCATGAGTATGAGGGGAGCTGACGTGGAGACGTGTAGAACATAGAGATGGGGCTTAGGCAAAGGAGAGGTGGTTCAAGGTAGATGGAGAAGGAGTAAAAGTAAAAAGAATCATGATATGAAGTTAAGATAAATGGAGAATATTTTTCCCAAGTAGCCTCTGAGGGGAAAGAAGACCTGCAGCTTGGTGTCTCAGAGTCAAGCTCATTAGGAAACGTATGTTGACACTTCTAATTTTAAGTAAGTTAAATCATACAGTGGGATGTTTCCCTTTATCTTCCTAGTTATGTCCTTTTTTTTTCCTTTTGCTAGTTTTATTTTTATGAAAACTGTATAAAAATTAGATAGAAATATGCAAAGTGATTAACTTTTGGTTTTTTTTTTCATTCAGCTTCCTGTATCACCCGATTCCAGACATGGTCATCCTTTCCCCTCTAACCTCTTCTTGAAAATCGCATCTCAGCTGGAAACGTGCAATATATAACAACCCCAAGGAAGAAGCACATTTTTGCTACACACAACCTGAAAATGAAATCTGTCAGTAGTGATGTTTGTTGAACCAAAAGCACTTTTTAATTTTTTTTTTTTTTTTTTTTTCCCTTTTTGCCTTTTTGAAGTGACTGCAGTTCCCCTTCGTTTTGTTATTGGCTTGGGACTACAGACTACATACGTTCTTCAGGAAAGTGACATTAGTGTATATGAGGTACCCAAAGCCACGTCATTAGAAGATATTTATCCTATTTAGTTGGGAAGTGAAGGGTGTGAAGTCTCGTCCTGCTCAGTTTTGCTGCAGGGTGCTGTCTCTTGACAGTAAACCCAGCTGCAATCACACTCGAGAGACACGCTGGTGGGCTACTCTCCCAAACTGCTGACCTTCCAGGCCTTAATGCCTCTGTGATCAAAACCCTTGTTTCCCTGCCGAAATCTCAACGCACCTCGCGTGTGTTGTAAAGTGTGCCTTGTCACCATCCCTCCTCGCATTCGGTCCCGTTTGGATCAGCGGAGATCTGCTACTTCGCCACCGCTGAAGGTGAGAGGAGCCCTCTGCATCTGGTGGCTTTTCCCGGGGGCTAGGAAAATAAAGCTCTTGCCTTCCGTCTGACAAAGGCCACTGTGGTGATATGGGTAGGGTCAGTGAAACGGTTTGTTCTGGCATTGGTTTCTCACGGAAATAAATCACCTCTCTGAAGCTGATTTTAACAGGAAAACTTGGGATTCAGACGCGGCACTTGAGGACACAATCTGGTGGGTACGGTAGTGTTGGGTCGATGGTTGGGCTTATAGGTCTCTTCCAACCTTAATTCTGCGATTCGTTCAGCTACCAAACACTTAAACCACGCGTAACCGTGCGTGTTAAAGCTTAACAGTGGCGTGGCTGAGGCCTTGCACTGCACAATGCTGCAAATGGCTGGCCTTTTAAAATTTTAGAGTAACTATCGACCATGTTGCCCATCTCCCTGCATGCTTGAGTGGCGGAGGGGATGCACTTCACTGTCACTCATATAATCCCTGCTGCTTCCTTGCCAACTGCGGCAGCTTTATTTATTCAGTGGTAATAATTTTTATGCAAGTTCCTAGTCTATTTACTGCTTTGGCCATTCTGAATATGAGAAATTTATATGACTTTTTATTTTAAAGAGTTGCTAAGTACTGCAACTGATATTTTATGTGTTAAAAGCAGGGAACAAACTTGGATATTCTAAAACTAAGACAGCTAAATATGTAATTATGTGCCTATTCTACTCTTAGAATTAAAAATACTATAAAGCACTGGCAGACTCCAACCCTTAATCTAGTAAACTGCTCAGCAGTGAAATTACAATTGCTATAATAACTTCAGTAATGCTTATGATACCCCAGTGCTATTAGCTCAGGATGAACTCTGTATTGGTTGCTCAGTAAATGGTAACAGGCCATTTGGGAAAGTGCTGTCTGGAAGTGGCTCAGCAGCTTCCCTGGCCCTAGAGGGAGTACTGCAGTGCCAGATTGAGAACTCCATGGGGATATGAGAGCAGGGTTAACTTTTTCACTTAACACTGGATTTGAATTAATTTCTGATTTCCCTTATAAGTCTTTCAGAGCACTTAAAAATGTGTTTAAATAGGTTATAGTCATAAACTCAAAATAGTAAATTGCCAATACATCCTCAGGGGTCGGTACTAGGACCAGCACTGTTCAGCATCTTTGTCAGCGACA